TGGATGGATGGATGGATGGATGGATGGATGGATGGATGAATGGATGCAAATTACCTTTAGGCCTTGTGACGATCTTTCCGACGGTACTAAAAGCATTGAGAGTCATCCTAAACGTCCTGTAATACGAACACTCGAACATATAGAAATACGATGGATACCGACTGATAGGACTTCCAGTACGGAAAACTTCTGTATCAACACTAGCGAAGAACGTCAATAAATCCTCATTCGACGTCAACCGCGTGTTACACCCGCTCAGCGGTGTCCTCATAATGACATGCGTAGAGTTGATATAATAAGCTTTACAATCAGTGCCATTGAAGTGGAAAGTTTGGGGGTCTAAGAAGAAGAACCTGGCTCTTGAGACGTGGAGTTCCATGTATTGGGGAGCACAGTGAACAATAAGCCCATCCGTTTCTTCCACTGAAAAACAAACGACATGCTGTTTTACCTAGACATTTTGTACGTACCGTGAAACTGTAAATCAATTTTCCATAAAGAGACAAGCTTCCTCGCATTGCGCGCAAGTTCGCTTGTTTCATGTACTATCCTGCTATCATTCCCTTTTTTTAAAAGTTAAGGGTGCTCAGTGGGATGAGAGGGTTGTCATGGCGATTGCAGTAATGTACAATCAATCCAAGCATCCAACTCAAAAAGCGCGCGCAAAAGACCGACAAAGCTCAAATCAGTAGAAGGCTCCCTTGAAGGCGCTCAAAGCTCGAGAATGCTAAGAACGTAAAGCTGTATCTTTAACCACGCATTTTTGCTAAGCTACTAACTGACATGCTTTATGATTAGATTTGGATAAGCGTCATTTGAACTTTAATGCCTGGTTGAACCTTCGTGTAAGGCGCGCGCGTTCTGCTGTCCACCAACGTACGCCTATAATTTGCTCTATTCCTTACAATTCCAAACCCCGAAACAACTTTAAAATGCATAATTATAACATATAAAAACATTACAATACGACCAAAAATAAAATAAATGTATGAATCGAGTTCGAGTTTCGTTATTTTGATGACTGAATAATATTTATCGCGTGGTCGGGCTTGGCCTCAAAAGTAAAGTCTTCAGTAATTGCGGCAACCTTGTCGACTTTGTCTAGACTAGGGTCAAGTGTGGCATCACAAAATTTATAGTTTTCGAGTTCTTCGCTTTCATTATTTCTCCAGCATCTAATCAAAGCCTGGGAGCATTTTTCTTCGTTCTGGAAGTCTCTAAAACAACAGATACTTCATATTTTAAAAAGTATGATTACCTACAGGAAGAATGTTTTCATCATCATTAATACTCAGTCATTTTGTGAGTGTGTCCGCCCTTTTGACTTCGAAAAACCAGACATTTAGGTCATCTACTATCAACTCAAGTGGACATTAGCATCTTTAATGATAATATCTCTACCAAACAGGATTACGTTCTTTCAACTCTTTCGTATTTATTGAACCTTGTAAAAAGTGATAAATGATTTGTGCTCTGAAGCCTCGACCTCTAAGAAACACCTTGAGACGGCTTATTTAGGCAAGACATCTGTAAATCTTGAATGTAAAAATGATTTTTCCTTTAATTCATTAAATATAAAATAAATATCAATATGTCATCCGATCCTTTGGTGAATGAACATTACCATTTCCAGATATTTTCCTGGACAGAAAAACAAACTTTATTTTTTTGGCAATATATATTAAAACTCTAGACTATAAAGTTCATTTAATTCTCATCCTAAACAAGCCTAAGGTGTATACAACGAACAATTACCTTTCCTAAAAAAATGAGCTAAAAACAACCTTCGCTCAATCTTATTATCAAAGAAACGTTTTAAAAATGTTTTAAACGAAAGTTTTTGTATAAAAAAATTGATTGGGAAGAAAATTTCCTAATTGGCAGGGGCAGATCCAGGGAAGGGGTGCAGGGGGTGCTCACTCCACCCTGGTTCGACTTTGTGCCCCAACTTCGAAGATAACCAATACTGTTTTTCCCTTGATTCTAAGGGGTGCACCCCTCCCTGGGTTAACTTTGTGCACAGCACCCCTCCCTGAACAAAATCCTGGATCCGTCCCTGATTGGATTATATATTATTAGGAATATATATTAAAACGAAGTTGAAAACATCAGCAAGCTAGGTATTACATTAGTGGCAATTTGTGGTTCCAAAAAATTTCCATACCCCACCATGCATAGGAGGGACATATTCAACTTTTTTCCAAATAACCCATACCTTGTAATTTTGTTTTTTCTCTGACCTACCACCCTTGTAATTTCCAATTTCCTCCACTTTTTGCTACAACTGTGTTAAAGTTTTTTTTCCAATATAAAATGGCATTTGCGCAAATAGTATGGTATCAACTATGAAAGCATTTAGGCATTAATTGTTCAAATTAAAATTACTTGCTTATTTATATGTTATAGAAAGTTCTAAAAAGTTAATAATTAATTATTGTGAAACAATAAAAAGTTTATTCTTTGCAACCAACATATATATACACACAATATGAACAATTTCAATGCCGAGGGATGGAAGTTTAGCATTAAATGTAAGGTTTATATATTAAACATGTTGAATTTGTATAGACTTACACAGTTGTATGTGTGGGAATATGTGTTGGGCAACAGCCAGTGGGTGTGTCGATCAATACACGATGCGAAAATGCCATTATCATAAATAGTTCAATCAAAACAATAGTAAAGACAAAGAAAATATAATATATTGAAGGTACAATTATGACTATCTAACACAAATGAAAATGCTATATGATCTAATTCAACAAAAACTAAAAAGTTTATCCCAAAATATAAAAGAAATCATTATCTATTGCTTAAATACATGTCAGCAGAGTTTAAAGCAAACAAAAATGGAAACCACGAGATATGTCTGGTATTTCCAGTAAGATTACATCTCTTATTTTTCTAATGGTAATTTCAGTGAGTTCATATGGAAGGTATATTGCATTTGTGTGTTATACCATAAGACTATCTATTCAAGAAGCTTCTACAGAAATGTTTGCCACACTGCCATGCAGTGAAAGAACGCAAACAAACATTCCCAAACAAGCTATAAAACATCATCTGTGAGGTAAGAGTTTAAATCTTCTTAGAAGGTRATTTTAAAGCCTTCAACTCGAACTAGTTATGGGATCTTTGCCAGGTATTAATTGATGTGAAAATGAAAATGGCACACCTAGAATCATACATATAGTTTGCATAATATTTCTGAATGTTTTGTTTACAGTCAAAGAGTCAGAATTGATGGAACAAAAAAGGCTTGCCAATTATTAACACTTTCTATTTTACCACAAAAAATGATAACAAATTATAACGAGACTTCTAGCTAAAAAAATCATTAATTATATATCACTTTTTCAAGAGAAAGTGGAGTATTTTGTCTATACATCATCATGTCATTGTATATACATAATGATGTCTTCAATGATCAATGAAAATAACAGTTTTAATTTTTTTCTTCTTTTTTTCCTTTTTTTTTTTTTTTTTTTTTTTTGTTTTTTTTGTTTTGTTTTTGTTTTTGGTATGGGTCGGGGGGCAGTTTAAGCAACCCGCGGACACATGCGCGCTGAACTATTTTATATTATGAATTATAGCCGGTTATTCTTTTTTTCTTTCATGTCCTCCTGGATATCCTAGTTTTAACTATGAAAYATGAAAGCCGTTAAAGCTGTATTCCCGTGTCATACATGGACTGTATAGCGGCCTTCATTGGCGTTCAGCGACTGATAGCGACGTTTCACGTGCATTCATTTCCGTCCCGTCGACTCAACTGAACCCGTTGTAGTTACGATAGTACAGTTCTAGCTAGAGCGAGAAAATTTTTGTCATTCTATGCTCCGTATCCGTACATAGACTGTATAGTGTTATAGGGACGCTTTCACGTGCATTCATTTCAGTCCCGTCGACTCAGAACCTGCTGCAACCTCGTCCCCGACGACCGCCATATTGAATTGGAGTCGGCCGAGAGGGCCCTAGGGACGAGGTTGAACCTGCTGTACATACGACGGCGCGTGCGCGGAGTTTCTTGTGAAAGCAATTTTTATTTATTCCATCTATGTCATCAGCCATCTATTTTATATTCAATAGCCACAACTTACTCATAGTTTAGTACATCCATCTAGAGATAAAACCAAATCTACTAGAGCTAAGACAAGAGATAACTATCCGACATCACTCAAATACGACATAAAATAAATARCATAAAAGCTTAGCCGGTGGAAATAATTCTGCCAGGCGTTTGGTAATCTCATTAGCTGTCTGTTTAGATAGCCGGTAATTTATTTTCAAGTGTAATTATTAATTCRCGTGTGCCTTCCTGTAATGTTTATCATTCTTCTCCCGTTAAGTTTGCATTGTTTTGTTTTCRTTCTGTATTTTATAAATATAAAGCCCAGGAACCGATCACGTAGTGGCGCTTATCTCGACTCGATTGAATCCGAAACCATTTCTTGCAAGATTTGRACCATCGCTATTCCTTTTCTACTCACAATCGGTTCATCTGTAACTATAGCTCATGCCAACGCCGTAAACTCGCCTAAAAGCAACCTTTCTTACCGCTTTTATACAAAGACAGGTCTTCAAAATCCTTGTCACTCCACGTCTAAGGGTTCGCATTTGCCAGCAAAGTAAAAACGGGTGTGAAGTGGAATTAAGAACAATCAATAAAACGGTAAAATTGTAGAGATTTGAGCCGTATTTAAAGCTCGGTTCGATATAACTTAAGAGATAAAAGCTATAGTTTGGAGCGCGACAGAGTGTATGAACAACTGTCATGGCGACTAGCATTTTGGTCACCTGTGTTCGCACTCTTAGCCTAGCTGCTTGCGAAATCTCAGTGACATTACGTTTTTTCTTCCAGAATTTGTACAGGATCCTTGAATACAGCATGTACATGAAAAGAACTGAACTGTTTCCCATTATGAACACGACTGCAACGTAAGCTTTCGGAGACACCCATTCTGGCCATTCCTCCAAGCAAAAATTATCCTTAGTATCGTATTTTAAGACAAGGGAACTCGGGCAGTTAGCAGCTACTGAAATCGCCCAAACAACAATCAMAATCCTGTGGACTTTTTTGTTTGTAATGCGAAGCCGAATAGAATGAGGATACTCCACTGTGAAATATCGTTCGAAGGCAATGACAGTGAGAAAAAACCCAGAAGATGTCACACTAATCCACAGAAAACCACCTCCAGTGAGGAACTTGCAKAGATAGTCGCCGAGGACGCCTTGAGGGTGCTCGAAGCTGGGGTTGATGATGTGACGAGGAAAGATAAATATTCCAATAAGAATGTCGCAAAACGCGAGGTTCCCGATCAGGTAGTTTATTGGCGTTTGWAGTGATCTTGTTCTGAGAATCGCTAAACACAATAACGAGTTTAAAACAACATCTGGTATAAACAGAACTATGAATCCTACAGTCAAAGTACCACTCTCAAAATCCGTATCCATTTTCTCAARTCGAAATGAGTGAATAGAATAGCCCTTCAAATCCTCTTGATTTAGTTGAATTCCAACCAGTGTCAAAAAAAACAGAACTCTCTATTAATCCTCAGCTTAATTTGCGTAGATCGGTGGCTCCTATTAAGCACAGCGTTAATCTGCCAATCTTTTGTGTCCTAAATTGAAATATAACGTGCTAGATGATGCTTCATATACGTCATCCGCGTAGGCAGAGACTTAACAAAGTGATGAGAAAGGAAGCTGGCTTGCTCGCTTTATTACTTTACTATACGCTTCCTCGTAATATTGATAGACATGCGAGACTATGGAAAAAGTGTCAATGCAGGAAACATTGTCTTACCGTGGAAATAATACTACATCAAAATTAATCTGGTTATTCTCTACCGCAGGAATGAGGGGGGGGGGGTGATTTTATACACACAAACCCTTTTGTATTGCTCTAAATTTTCTCGTAGTAAATCTAAAACATATAAATTGTCTATAAATATTGATTTATTTGAAGATCATTTGYTTGGCTTCAACAAGACTTATTTTTAGGTCAATGTCTTAATCGCGTCTTTCACGTCATAAACTCCTACGTACGGTACCCTTGAGAGGCACTTGTATGGAGATTTTTGACATGATGACGTAATGTTCGAGCGGTTTTTATATCGAGTGGAAAGCGTAAGGTACTAACACT